GGCTCCAGTGTGAGCTCAGGATCTGTTCCCGGTTCAAACGTCAACCCGCCCAGCTCGGCGACGATGTCGATCTCCGTCACAGACGTCACTTCGGCCGTCACCATCTCTCTCTGTGGGAGCAGGAAGTCCAGAGGCTCGAGGACCGCGGGGAGGTCGATGCGGCCCAGACTGCCGTACCTGTGCAGCTGGGTCGGAGGGACACCTGTGGGACAACAAACAGGCATCAGACAGGCCCGTTACCGAGCTAAATATCTAAAATATCTGATATTAAATCCATCTGACTGAACCGATGTGTTCCTCTGTGTTCTGCGAGGTCTTATTAATCTGAACTTTAGGCATTAAAGAGAACCTTATTGTTAAACTGCTTTCCTAATGTATTAAAAAGTCTTGCAGAAATACTGATGAATATTATTTGTCAACCAATCACTGTGGAGATGAGACCGGATCGGTCCAGAACCAGGACCCTCACCCAGAACGAGCGCCAGCTGAGCCGGAGGAAACAGGACCTGCAGGCAGCGGTTGAGGAACGGCAGCAGGTCGTCGGCGTACGAACAGCAGAACTGAACGAACAGCACCTTCTCTCTGTCGCTGAACGCCGACTCATCGGCCCGGTGAAACGCCAGAATCTGACGGGTCACCTGACAGGAAACAAGATGACACTCACTAACAAACTAACCACCTGACATCAGTCATTACCGATAGTTCACCAGCTAATATACATCAACTGTTAGCTAGGTAGTTACATCTGCAAATGTGCATCAATGCAGTGAGGTTTCAATATATGACCAAAGTCTGGTCTCGTAGTCCCATGTGGACTCACGCGGACCCATGTGGACCCATTAGGACCAGCAGCGTCCTGAGGCCTACCTTCTTCAGGGCGTCTTCCAGACAGTTGGTGACGTCCTGGGCCAGACCGACGGGGCAGCAGAGCCGCAGGTCGTTGAAGGCGGTCAGGATGTTGTTGAGGAAGCAGGCCAGCGGCTGGAAGTCCAGCAGGGACATGGGGGGCTGCAGGGTGCCGGGCTGGGGGCTGGGGGCCACGGGGGGGATGGTGCCCCCCAGCACCGAGGGCAGGGAGATGAGCGTGTACATGTTCATGTCCTCCTGGAACTTGTCCAGCGCCTCCTGCACGGCCCTGCGGAACGCCTCCACCGCCACCTGCTGGAACATCGGCGCCAGCTGGCCGCGGAAGTCCGCCCCCACCCTGCTGAAGGACAGGCCGAAGTACATGCACTGACCCAGCAGGGAGTCCAGGCGGCCCCCCACGCCCCGCTGCAGGTCCCTCTCCAACGTCTCCAGGAACTCAGCCACCTTCTGCACCACCCAGCCGTGGAAGATGGCGGCCTCGTTCACCGGCACCTGGCCGCCGGCGGGGGGCACCAGCGGGTCCTCGTCAGAGAAGATGGCTCTGTACTGGGTGATGATGTCGAACAGGTGGACTCTGCAGGCCTCGATGGTTTTGGTGATGTGGAAGTAGGGGTCGTCCTCAGGAATGGCGGCGAGGATGGAGTTCAGCCAGGTGCCACGCGCCTGCAGGAACTTTACCCGAAGCTCCGCCTCCGTGAACACGTCCATCCGCCGCAGGTAGCCAATGACACGCAGGCAGACGGGAAGCTGCGAGTTGCTGCGCAGCTGCTGCAGCAGCTGGTTGAGCATCAGCTGAGTCGACTGACGCACCTCACGCACGATTCCCTGAAGAAGAGGTCAAATATCGGTTCAACAACAGGAAGTCAATCAGAGAATAAATATTGTTTTATTGGTCAAATGTCAGAAATCTCAATGTGACGTCTTTAAAAGTGTTTAAAACACAAAGAAATCTCTGAAGAGTTTTCATCTTAACCTCGATATCTACAGGTTTATGTTTATATACATATATTTATATATAAATATATTTATATATAAATAAGAAACGATGCTTTCACATTAACGTGATCTATAAATCTCAAATGAACTTCAAGTGATTACTTGTTGTATAATTCTAACAGTAATGATCATTTCCATGTCAGAATAAAGTAGTATTGATTATTGATTGATAACTGCTGACGGTGTCTCACCTGGATGACGGGCAGTGAGCAGTGCTTCCTCTCCAGCCTCTTGACGTAGGCGGCGAGCTCCAGAGCCTCCTCGTAGTATCCGTTACGGACGCAGGTGTCCATCAGCTGAGGGATCTCCAGGATCTCCAGGATCTCCGTGTGTCTGTTCAACGTCAGGCTGTTCATCCTCCGACTCACTGCGATGTCCTCTGCCTCCTTCATGAAGCCCCTGAGCACAAACAGTCAGTAAACAGTCAGTAAACAGTCAACAGTCAGTAAACAGACAGTAAACAGTCAGTAAACAGACAGTAAACAGTTAACAGTCAGTAAACAGTCAGTAAACAGACAGTAAACAGTGAGTAAACAGTTAACAGTCAGTAAACAGACAGTAAACTGAGTAAACAGTCAGTAAACAGACAGTAAACAGTCAGTAAACAATTAACAGTCAGTAAACAGTCAGTAAACTGAGTAAACAGTTAGTAAACAGTCAGTAAACAGTGAGTAAACAGTTAACAGTCAGTAAACAGTTAGTAAACAGTCAGTAAACAGACAGTAAACGGAAAGTAAACAGTAAAGAGACAGTAAACATCAACAGTCAGTAAACAGTCAGTAAACAGACAGTATACTGAGTAAACAGTCAGTAAACAGTTAACAGTCAGTAAACAGTGAGTAAACAGTCAACAGTCAGTAAAAAAACAGTAAACAGTGAGTAAACAGTGAGTAAACAGTAAGTAAACAGTGAACAGTGAGTAAACAAACAGTAAACAGTCAGTAAACAGTCAGTAAACAGTCAGTAAACAGTCAGTAAACGGTCAGCAAACAGTTAGTAAACAGACAGTAAACAGTTAACAGTCAGTAAAAAACAGTAAACAGTCAGTAAACGGTCAGCAAACAGACAGTAAACAGTCAGTAAACAGTTAGTAAACAGACAGTAAACAGTTAACAGTCAGTAAACAGTGAGTAAACAGACAGTAAACAGTCAGTAAACAGTCAGTAAACAGTTAACAGTCAGTAAACAGTCAGTAAACAGTCAGTAAACTGAGTAAACAGTCAGTAAACAGTCAGTAAACAGTTAGTAAACAGACAGTAAACAGTTAAAAGTCAGTAAACAGTCAGTAAACAGTTAACAGTCAGGAAACAGTCAGTAAACAGACAGTAAACAGTCAGTAAACAGTCAGTAAACAGTAAACAGACAGTCGATAAACAAGATAAACAAGATAAAGATAAAAACAAACAAATAAAGAAATGCTGCATTAATAAATCTGACAAATACAGATATTTATATAGTTGATAATATAAATGCCTTCAAAAATAATTAATTAGGAACTTCTGAGAGGGTTGGGAAGCTTTCATATATTTGTTATTCTCAATCAACAGTAATACTAATACTAATAATAATACTAATAATACTACTACTACTACTAATAATAATACTAATACTACTACTACTACTACTAATAATAATAATAATAATACTAATACTAATAATAATAATAGAATATTATTTGATGCTCTTGTATTGTGTATACCATAATATTCTAAAAATAAATTCCAATAAAAAAAAATAAAGAAATACATTTGGAAAATTTAACAAAAAATAAACAATTAAAGAACAAATAAACAAATAAATACTATATTAATAAATGTTTATCACGTGATGATCTTGTGTTATGTATACCATAGTTATTTTCCTTAAGTATTTATTGATATCATTTTATTTTAGATGAAACAATAAAACTAATAAACAATTAAAAATAAAGAGAAAAATAGGTTTTGAAAACTAAAACCACCCAAATGATTTTTATTCTAAATAAATACTAAATGAATAAATATGACAACTGCATACAGTTAATAATAACTAATATATATTAGTTAGTTACAACTATAACTATAACTATATATAGTTATTATTAACTATATATAGTTATAGTTGTAATAATAATAATAATATATCTATCTATATAATAGTTATTATTAACTGTATAATATATCTATATTATACAGTTAATAATAATAATATATATATATAATAGTTATTATTAACTATATAAAGTTATAGTTATAATAATAATATATCTATCTATATATTATTATTATTAACTGTATAATATATATATACAGTTAATAATAACTATATATATATTATACAGTTAATAATAATAATAATATATCTATGTATATATAGTTATAGTTGTAATAATAATAATATATCTATATATAGTTATTATTAACTGTATATAGTTATAGTTGTAATAATAATAATAATATATCTATATATAGTTATTATTAACTGTATATATATATATTATACAGTTAATAATAATAATATATCTATATCTATATATAGTTATAGTTGTAATAATAATAATATATCTATATCTATAAATAGTTATAGTTGTAATAATAATAATGTATCTATGTATAATAGTTATTATTAACTGTATAATATATATATATATATATATATATATATATACAGTTAATAATAATAATAATATATCTATATCTATATATAGTTATAGTTGTAATAATAATAATATATCTATATATAGTTATTATTAACTGTATAATATATATATATTATACAGTTAATAATAATAATGTATCTATGTATAATAGTTATTATTGAATTAAATGTGTCCCTCCGCGGCCACCGACCTGCATCTCTCCCCGAACCCGGGCAGTTTGTCCAGCAGCCGGGACACGCTGCCCTCCACCCGGCCGAAGTCCCGGTAGATGTGTTCGGTGCAGTCCGCGGTTCGGATGAAGGTCTGGTAGTTGGAGAAGGCCAGTTCCCGGGTCTGCTGCAGGATCTGAGCCCGCTCCTCCGCCAGCCGCTCCGGTTCCCGGCTCAGAGTGTCCACCCCGAAGGAGCTGAGCTCGGCCAGGTAGGCGGTGAAGTCCGGGTTGTCCCTCCGGCTGTCCGGGAAGCTGTCCTTAAAGATGGAGGCCAGGATGCTCTCGTCCTCCACGTCCACCGCCGACATTGTAGCAGCTGCTGTCAGGGACACTCGCTGAAGCCGATTATTATGGGATGTTTCACAGCGATCCAGATGTTCTACTTAATGACGTTCCCCAACAGCTGATGGACGACCAGGGTTCACAGCCACTTCCTGCTTCTGCGTCTTCTTCTGTGGCTGTTGCGGCAGGATAGACGCAACAAAGGGTACTACTGCCCCCCACAGGCCTCTGGGAGAACTACTGCCCCCCACAGGCCTCTGGGAGAACTACTGCCCCCCCCACAGGCCGCTGGGAGAACTACTGCCCCCCACAGGCCTCTGGGAGAACTACTGCCCCCCCACAGGCCTCTGGGAGAACTACTGCCCCCCCCCACAGGCCGCTGGGAGAACTACTGCCCCCCACAGGCTGCTGGGAGAACTACTGCCCCCCACAGGCCTCTGGGAGAACTACTGCCCCCCACAGGCCTCTGGGAGAACTACTGCCCCCCCACAGGCCGCTGGGAGAACTACTGCCCCCCTACAGGCCTCTGGGAGAACTACTGCCCCCCACAGGCCTCTGGGAGAACTACTGCCCCCCTACCACAGGCCTCTGGGAGAACTACTGCCCCCCTACAGGCCTCTGGGAGAACTACTGCCCCCACACAGGCTGCTGGGAGAACTACTGCCCCCCACAGGCCGCTGGGAGAACTACTGCCCCCCACAGGCCGCTGGGAGAACTACTGCCCCCCCTAACAGGCCTCTGGGAGAACTACTGCCCCCCACAGGCCTCTGGGAGAACTACTGCCCCCCACAGGCCTCTGGGAGAACTACTGCCCCCCACAGGCCTCTGGGAGAACTACTGCCCCCCACAGGCTGCTGGGAGAACTACTGCCCCCCCACAGGCCTCTGGGAGAACTACTGCCCCCCCACAGGCCGCTGGGAGAACTACTGCCCCCCCACAGGCCGCTGGGAGAACTACTGCCCCCCCACAGGCCGCTGGGAGAACTACTGCCCCCCACAGGCCGCTGGGAGAACTACTGCCCCCCACAGGCCTCTGGGAGAACTACTGCCCCCCCCACAGGCCGCTGGGAGAACTACTGCCCCCACAGGCCTCTGGGAGAACTACTGCCCCCCCCACAGGCCTCTGGGAGAACTACTGCCCCCCCACAGGCTGCTGGTAGAACTACTATACAGTATTTACAGTATTATACAGTTACAGTGTTATAGAGTATTATAGTTGTATACAGTATTTACAGTAGTTACAGTAGTTACAGTGGTATAGAGTATTACAGTAGTTACAGTGGTATAGAGTATTACAGTAGTTACAGTGGTATAGAGTATTACAGTAGTTACAGTGGTATAAAGTATTACAGTAGTATACAGTGTTATACAGTTACAGTATTATAGAGTCATTATTTTGCCCAGTCACACTGACGGTTCACACATTGGTGCTGTTTACAATAAGTTCATGTTTCCGGATATATTTCTGTATAACAGTAGTAAATATATGACCCATAAGCACAGGCAGTGTCTGTAAGCGGTCGGTTGTCACTCTGTCTGCGTTCAATAAAACCTGTTGTTATTGTCGTTCAACGCTTGTTAATAAAGTTGTGGCCTCTGACGTCAGCGGAAGTGTTTGTTGCTAAGCTGCAGCCGAGCAGCGACAGACCGTCAACAACCGACAGACAGGTTATCTACCGACGGTTTACCGGGTCAACTCTGATGGTTACCGGCGGCGGGCGGTAAACCGTTTCTACCGACAGACAGCCGACAGACAGCCGACAGACAGCCGACAGACAACCGACAGACAACCGACAGACAGCCGACAGACAGCCGACAGACAACCGACAGACAGCCGACAGACAACCGACAGACAACCGACAGACAGCGGGTAGCCTGCCTCAGCTAAGCGCTGCTGCCGTTAGCTTCCAGCCACTGTAAGGCTACTGTAACTACGGTAACGTTAGTTAATATAATATATTATAATATATATATTATATAAGTTACGGTAATGAGCTCGGTCGACTGTCTGCGCAGACTCAGTTAATCTGTTGTTTAAACTGACGGTTGATCGATGAGTTTAATGCTGTTACCTAATGAGCTTCTGTGGGGCAATAGTTGTTACCCCGAGGTTCAGCTGTAGTATCTGTGTGTGTGTCTGTGGGGCAGTAGTTGTTACCCCGAGGTTCAGCTGTAGTATCTGTGTGTGTCTGTGGGGCAGTAGTTGTTACCCCGAGGTTCAGCTGTAGTATCTGTGTGTGTCTGTGGGGCAGTAGTTGTTACCCCGAGGTTCAGCTGTAGTATCTGTGTGTGTCTGTGGGGCAGTAGTTGTTACCCCGAGGTTCAGCTGTAGTATCTGTGTGTGTGTGGGGCAGTAGTTGTTACCCCGAGGTTCAGCTGTAGTATCTGTGTGTCTGTGGGGCAGTAGTTGTTACCCCGAGGTTCAGCTGTAGTATCTGTGTGTCTGTGGGGCAGTAGTTGTTACCCCGAGGTTCAGCTGTAGTATCTGTGTGTCTGTGGGGCAGTAGTTGTTACCCCGAGGTTCAGCTGTAGTATCTGTGTGTCTGTGGGGCAGTAGTTGTTACCCCGAGGTTCAGCTGTAGTATCTGTGTGTGTCTGTGGGGCAGTAGTTGTTACCCCGAGGTTCAGCTGTAGTATCTGTGTGTCTGTGGGGCAGTAGTTGTTACCCCGAGGTTCAGCTGTAGTATCTGTGTGTGTCTGTGGGGCAGTAGTTGTTACCCCGAGGTTCAGCTGTAGTATCTGTGTGTGTGTGGGGCAGTAGTTGTTACCCCGAGGTTCAGCTGTAGTATCTGTGTGTATGTGGGGCAGTAGTTGTTACCCCGAGGTTCAGCTGTAGTATCTGTGTGTGTGTGTGGGGCAGTAGTTGTTACCCCGAGGCTCAGCTGTAGTATCTGTGTGTGTCTGTGGGGCAGTAGTTGTTACCCCGAGGTTCAGCTGTAGTATCTGTGTGTGTCTGTGGGGCAGTAGTTGTTACCCCGAGGTTCAGCTGTAGTATCGGTGTGTGTCTGTGGGGCAGTAGTTGTTACCCCGAGGTTCAGCTGTAGTATCTGTGTGTGTCTGTGGGGCAGTAGTTGTTACCCCGAGGTTCAGCTGTAGTATCTGTGTGTGTCTGTGGGGCAGTAGTTGTTACCCCGAGGTTCAGCTGTAGTATCTGTGTGTGTCTGTGGGGCAGTAGTTGTTACCCCGAGGTTCAGCTGTAGTATCGGTGTGTGTCTGTGGGGCAGTAGTTGTTACCCCGAGGTTCAGCTGTAGTATCGGTGTGTGTCTGTGGGGCAGTAGTTGTTACCCCGAGGTTCAGCTGTAGTATCTGTGTGTGTCTGTGGGGCAGTAGTTGTTACCCCGAGGTTCAGCTGTAGTATCGGTGTGTCTGTGGGGCAGTAGTTGTTACCCCGAGGTTCAGCTGTAGTATCTGTGTGTGTCTGTGGGGCAGTAGTTGTTACCCCGAGGTTCAGCTGTAGTATCTGTGTGTGTCTGTGGGGCAGTAGTTGTTACCCCGAGGTTCAGCTGTAGTATCTGTGTGTCTGTGGGGCAGTAGTTGTTACCCCGAGGTTCAGCTGTAGTATCTGTGTGTCTGTGGGGCAGTAGTTGTTACCCCGAGGTTCAGCTGTAGTATCTGTGTGTGTCTGTGGGGCAGTAGTTGTTACCCCGAGGTTCAGCTGTAGTATCTGTGTGTGTCTGTGGGGCAGTAGTTGTTACCCCGAGGTTCAGCTGTAGTATCTGTGTGTGTGTCTGTGGGGCAGTAGTTGTTACCCCGAGGTTCAGCTGTAGTATCTGTGTGTGTGTCTGTGGGGCAGTAGTTGTTACCCCGAGGTTCAGCTGTAGTATCTGTGTGTGTGTGGGGCAGTAGTTGTTACCCCGAGGTTCAGCTGTAGTATCTGTGTGTCTGTGGGGCAGTAGTTGTTACCCCGAGGTTCAGCTGTAGTATCTGTGTGTGTCTGTGGGGCAGTAGTTGTTACCCCGAGGTTCAGCTGTAGTATCTGTGTGTGTGTGTGGGGCAGTAGTTGTTACCCCGAGGTTCAGCTGTAGTATCTGTGTGTGTCTGTGGGGCAGTAGTTGTTACCCCGAGGTTCAGCTGTAGTATCTGTGTGTGTGTCTGTGGGGCAGTAGTTGTTACCCCGAGGTTCAGCTGTAGTATCTGTGTGTCTGTGGGGCAGTAGTTGTTACCCCGAGGTTCAGCTGTAGTATCTGTGTGTGTGTCTGTGGGGCAGTAGTTGTTACCCGAGGTTCAGCTGTAGTATCTGTGTGTGTCTGTGGGGCAGTAGTTGTTACCCCGAGGTTCAGCTGTAGTATCGGTGTGTGTCTGTGGGGCAGTAGTTGTTACCCCGAGGTTCAGCTGTAGTATCTGTGTGTGTGTGGGGCAGTAGTTGTTACCCCGAGGTTCAGCTGTAGTATCTGTGTGTCTGTGGGGCAGTAGTTGTTACCCCGAGGTTCAGCTGTAGTATCTGTGTGTGTCTGTGGGGCAGTAGTTGTTACCCCGAGGTTCAGCTGTAGTATCTGTGTGTGTGTGTGGGGCAGTAGTTGTTACCCCGAGGTTCAGCTGTAGTATCTGTGTGTGTCTGTGGGGCAGTAGTTGTTACCCCGAGGTTCAGCTGTAGTATCTGTGTGTGTGTCTGTGGGGCAGTAGTTGTTACCCCGAGGTTCAGCTGTAGTATCTGTGTGTCTGTGGGGCAGTAGTTGTTACCCCGAGGTTCAGCTGTAGTATCTGTGTGTCTGTGGGGCAGTAGTTGTTACCCCGAGGTTCAGCTGTAGTATCTGTGTGTCTGTGGGGCAGTAGTTGTTACCCCGAGGTTCAGCTGTAGTATCTGTGTGTGTCTGTGGGGCAGTAGTTGTTACCCCGAGGTTCAGCTGTAGTATCTGTGTGTGTCTGTGGGGCAGTAGTTGTTACCCCGAGGTTCAGCTGTAGTATCTGTGTGTGTCTGTGGGGCAGTAGTTGTTACCCCGAGGTTCAGCTGTAGTATCGGTGTGTGTCTGTGGGGCAGTAGTTGTTACCCCGAGGTTCAGCTGTAGTATCGGTGTGAGTAAAGGTGTTTATTTCACTGAAAGGTTGTTTTACTGTTAGTTGTCCTCTTTAGTTCATTCATGGGGACGCAGTGTAACCGCAGTGAATCCACAAAGGAAACGACACAACAAGCTTCTAAACTTAAATATGAATGAGAACCAGAATCAGTAGGAACCAGAATCAATAGGAACCAGAATCAATAGGAACCAGAATCAGTAGGAACCAGAATCAGTAGGAACCAGAATCAATAGGAACCAGAATCAGTTGGAACCAGAATCAGTAGGAACCAGAATCAGTAGGAACCAGAATCAGTAGGAACCAGAATCAGTTGGAACCAGAATCAGTAGGAACCAGAATCAGTAGGAACCAGAATCAGTTGGAACCAGAATCAATAGGAACCAGAATCAGTAGGAACCAGAATCAGTTGGAACCAGAATCAGTTGGAACCAGAATCAGTAGGAACCAGAATCAGTAGGAACCAGAATCAGTAGGAACCAGAATCAATAGGAACCAGAATCAATTAATTGTTTTAAATTGTCTTAATGATGTGGGAATGTGTGTATTCATAACTTTGTAATTGAAATTTTGCACAACTGTGAATTTAGTATCTGTTTTTAATTGATTGTATGTTCCGTCTACCTGCCCACGGACTAAAACCCGCTGCAATGCATCTCTCCTTGTTATATACTGTCTATACACTGTCCCTGTTCAAATACAAGAAATAATAATAATAATAATAATAATAATATAGATCATATCAATCAGTCAAACTTTATCTGTATAGCACATTTCAGTCTTTATGTGAGGACAGTCTTTATCGGAGGACAGTCTTTATCTGACGACAGTCTTTATCTGAGGACAGTCTTTAGGTATCTGAGGACAGTCTTTAGGTATGTGAGGACAGTCTTTAGGTGTCTGTGGACAGTCTTTAGGTGTCTGTGGACAGTCTTTAGGTGTCTGTGGACAGTCTTTAGGTATGTGAGGACAGTCTTTAGGTGTCTGTGGACAGTCTTTAGGTATGTGAGGACAGTCTTTAGGTGTCTGTGGACAGTCTTTAGGTATGTGAGGACAGTCTTTAGGTGTCTGTGGACAGTCTTTAGGTATGTGAGGACAGTCTTTAGGTGTCTGTGGACAGTCTTTAGGACATTAGGTGTGTGTATGATGGTGTGCTGTATGTCTGCAGGTGGAGGACGCTCGGTGCAGACGGTGAATCAGAAGCTGATGTCTGTCCTCACTGATCCTGACTGAACTTGATGATTTAACGTCAGCACTGGTCCAGCAGCTCCAGCACAGCAGCCAGTCTCCCAGTACGACCAGTACGACCAGTATGGCTGCGGCCAACACCACCAAGATCTCATGGCGACTGCGTGAGTGGAGCCGTAGTTTCTATCTTCCCGCTCAATAATAATCCTATAATAATAATCCTATAATAATAATAATCCTAATAATAATAATCCTATAATAATAATAATCCTATAATAATAATCCTATAATAATAATAATCCTATAATAATAATAATAATAATAATAATAATAATAATAATAAAGAGGAAGCACAAAGCAGGTTGGTGCTACTTCTGTGGAAACTCTTACCACTCTTCTTATATAAACTTTATTTATGTTGTGCAAACTGAAAGTTGATGTGACCCTGATCCTGAATGTGTCCCTCCTGTGTTGCCGTACAGAGGAGTTTGAGGCTCACTCCGGCAGCGTGTCCTGTCTGTCTCTGGGGAAAAGCTCCGGCCGCCTGCTGGCCACAGGAGGGGGGGACTGCAGGGTCAACCTGTGGGCCGTCAGCAAGGCCAACTGCATCATGGTGAGCCTGTCTGAGTACAGTAGTGACCCAGATCAGAGTCTGTGTGTCCTCACTGTGTGTGTGTGTGTGTGTGTGTGTGTGTGTGTCTCTCTCTCTCTCTCTCTCTCTCTCTCTCTCTCTCAGAGTCTGACCGGGCACAAGAACCCAGTGGAGTGTGTCCAGTTCAACGCGTCAGAGGACCAACTCGTCACCGGTTCACAGTCTGGATCAATACGAGTCTGGGACATGGAGGCAGCCAAGAGTGAGTCTGTGTCTGTGTCTGTGTGTGTGTGTGTGTGTATGTATATGTATGTGTGTGTGTGTGTGTGTGTGTGTGTGTGTGTGTGTGTGTATATGTGTGTGTGTGTATATATGTGTATATGTGTGTGTTTATATATGTGTATATGTGTGTGTGTGTGTGTGTGTGTGTGTGTGTGTGTGTGTGTATGTGTGTGTGTGTGTGTGGGGTGTGTGTGTGTATATATGTGTGTGTGTGTGTGTGTGTGTGTGTGTGTGTATATGTGTGTGTGTGTGTATACATGTGTATTTATGTGTGTGTGTGTGTGTGTGTGTGTGTATATATATGTGTATATGTGTGTGTGTGTGTGTGTGTATATGTGTGTGTGTGTATATATGTGTATTTATGTGTGTATATGTGTGTGTGTGTAATATGTGTGTGTGTGTGTGTGTGTGCTCTGTCCCCAGCTAGTGGCAGGTGGCTGTGGAAAGATCACATTAACCAGTGTTGTTCATGATTAAAATCTGAGAATTAGTATTTCTGGTGTCGACTAGCAAGATTACTGACTAGTAAACTAATGATGCACATCCCTAATCTACACAAGATGTGATTAAGACCATGACCAGTGGGGGGCAGTGTGCCAGGATGTGCTCAGTTCAGACGCGTGTCAGTGTGACTCTGCTGCTTCCTGTCTCCTCCAGTTTTAAGGACTCTGATGGGACACAAAGCCAACATCACCAGTCTGGGCTTCCATCCGTTCGGAGACTTCCTCGCCTCGAGCTCCATGGACACAAACATCAAGGTAGGCGTCTGTTCTGGTGAGGACCAGTTTGGGACGGCTGGTTGTGATGGTTTAGGTGAGGGGACGAAGGATTCATTAAGTCCTCACTAATAACAATAATGTGACCTGTTTCTGTGTTTCTGTTTGTCTGTCAGCTGTGGGACATACGGAGGAAAGGATATGTGTTCAGGTACACGGTAAGAGCTCTGAGTCAATCAGTGTGTGTGAGGGACACAGAGTCCACCACAGAGAGTCCACCACAGAGTCCACCACAGAGAGTCCACCACAGAGAGTCCACCACAGAGTCCACCACAGAGTCCACCACACACAGAGTCCACCACACACAGAGTCCACCACACACAGAGTCCACCACACAAGTCCACCACACACGAGTCCACCACACACAGAGTCCACCAACAAGTCCACCACACAGTCCACCACACGAGTCCACCACACAGGTCCAACACACAGAGTCCACCACACAGAGTCCACCACAGAGTCCACCACAGAGTCCACCACAGAGTCCACCACACAGAGTCCACCACACAGAGTCCACCACACAGAGTCCACCACACACAGAGTCCACCACACACAGAGTCCACCACACAGAGTCCACCACGCAGAGTCCACCACGCAGAGTCCACCACGCAGAGTCCACACCGCAGAGAGTCCACACCGCAGAGAGTCCACACCACGCAGAGAGTCCACACCACGCAGAGAGTCCACACCACGCAGAGTCCACACCACGCAGAGTCCACCACAGAGAGTCCACCACAGAGAGTCCACCACAGAGAGTCCACCACAGAGAGTCCACCACAGAGAGTCCACCACAGAGAGTCCACCACAGAGTCCACCACAGAGTCCACCCATAGTGCTTTTAGCAGGATAACGTTAGCTTGGTTGGTAATGTGGTAGAATGGTTATGAAGTACTGTGAGCCGGCTCCCGGGGCTGATCTGGCTGTTTGCTGTTTGCAGGTTACTTACAGGTGCTGGATGATGGTATTCAGTGTGGGTGGGTTGCAGCTAGCTGGCTAACTTTAGCCTGTTAACAACAGTTTAATGACAGTTACTGTGCCAGAAGGATCAGTGGTGTATTTCACAATAAAAGTTTGTGGCCTTTAATGTGAAAGCTAACGCTGTGTTGGTGTTTGCGTTGCAGGGTCACACTCAGGCAGTGAGGAGCGTGGCCTTCAGTCCAGATGGGAAGTGGTTGGCTTCAGCCAGTGACGACGGAACCGTCAAGGTGAACCTGATCCGGCTCGTGACCCAGTCTCTTCTTTCTAACTTTAATGTTACTTTCAACGTCTGTTAAATGAGCGTGATCCATTAGTAGCTACATGACCAGCTCTATGGTAGCGGAACCGGCACCAGAACCAGAACTAGCTGTAGGTTCATGTTGGTGTCCATGTAAAGAGTTCCTCCAGTGCTAACGCTCATCTGTCTCTGTCAGCTGTGGGACCTGATTCAGGGGAAGACCATCACAGAGTTCAAGTCTCACACCGCGGCCGTCAACATCGTCCAGTTTCACCCCAACGAGTACCTGCTGGCGTCAGGCAGCTCCGACAGGTACCACGCCCCGCCCCCACACGGATTAGCCCCGCCCTAAAGCTCATCAACTGTTTACTGAGACTATAGAACAGTTCACTATAAGACTCCATACTATCAGAGTGGAGCTGCCCCCTGCTGGCTGTTAGAGACACTGCAGCTTTAATCTCTGTCCACTGTCTCTGTGTCGTCTGCAGGACCGTCAAACTGTGGGACCTGGAGAAGTTTACGATGATCGGCTCGATGGAGGGAAACACGACTCCGGTCAGGTGAGTCGTCTCACCGCAGAGTGAGACAGGTTGCTGTAATGTGACCTCTGACCTCTGACCCCTGTGTGTTTAGGTGTATATGTTTCAGCCCGGATGGCGGCTGTCTGTACAGCGGGGCCACAGACTCTCTCAGGGTCTTCGGCTGGGAGCCCGACCGCTGTTTCGATGTGGTTCCGGTGGGCTGGGGCAAAGTGTCGGACCTGGCAGTCTGCAACCAGCAGCTGGTGGGTAGCGCCCCCTACAGGGCAGAAACTGTTCTTTATAAAGTCCCTGTAAGGAACCCTCCTCCTTCAACCTCTCTCCTTCAACCTCTCTCCTCCTCCTCCAACCTCTCTCCCCTCCAACCTCTCTCCTCCTCCAACCTCTCTCCTCCTCCTACCTCTCTCCTCCTCCTACCTCTCTCCTCCTCCAACCTCTCTCCTCCTCCAACCCCCCTCTCCTCCAACCTCTCTCCTCCTCCTCCAACCTCTCTCTTCCAACCTCTCTCCTCCTCCTATCTCTTCCAACCTCTCCTCCTCCTCCACCACCTCTCTCCTCCTCCTCCAACCTCTCTCCTCTTCCAACCTCTCTCCTCCTCCAACCTCTCTCCTCTTCCAACCTCTCTCCTCCTCCAACCTCTCTCCTCCTCCTACTCTCTCTCCTCCAACCTCTCTCCTCCTCCAACCTCTCTCCTCTTCCAACCTCCCTCCTCTTCCAACCTCTCTCTTCCTCCAACCTCTCTTCTCTTCCAACCTCTCTTCTCTTCCAACCTCTCTCCTCCTCCTCCAACCTCTCTCTTCCAACCTCTCTCCTCCTCCAACCTCTCGCCTCTTCCAACCTCTCTCCTCCTCCTACCTCTCTCCTCTTCCTATCTCTCTCTTCCAACCTCTCTCCTCCTCCAACCTCTCTCCTCCTCCTCCAACCTCTCTCCTCCTCCTACTCTCTCCTCTCCCAACCTCTCTCCTCCTCCAACCTCTCTCCTCCTCCAACCTCTCTCCTCCTCCAACCTCTCTCCTCCTCCAACCTCTCTCCTCCTCCAACCTCTCTCCTCCTACCTCTCTCCTCCTCCAACCTCTCTCCTCCTCCAACCTCTCTCTCCTCCCACCTCTCTCCTCCTCCTCCAACCTCTCTCCTCCCTCCTCCTCTCCCTCCTCTCTCTTCCAACCTCTCCTCCTACCTCTCTCCTCCTCCAACCTCTCTCCTCCAACCTCTCTCCTCTTCCAACCTCTCTCCTCCTCCAACCTCTCTCCTCTTCCAACCTCTCTCCTCCTCCAACCTCTCTCCTCCTCCAACCTCTCTCCTCCTCCAACCTCTCTCCTCCTACCTCTCTCCTCTTCCAACCCCCCTCTCCTCCAACCTCTCTCCTCCAACCTCTCTCTCTTCCAACCTCTCTTCTCCTCCAACCTCTCTCCTCCTCCAACCTCTCTCCTCCTCCAACCTCTCTCCTCCTCCTATCTCTCTCTTCCAACCTCTCTCCTCTTCCAACCTCTCTCCTCCTCCTACCTCTCTCCTCCTCCTACCTCTCTCCTCCTCCAACCTCTCTCTTCCAACCTCTCTCCTCCTCCAACCTCTCGCCTCTTCCAACCTCTCTCCTCCTCCTACCTCTCTCCTCCAACCTCTCTCCTCCTCCTTCTCTTCCAACCTCTCTCCTCCTCCAACCTCTCTCCTCCTCCTCATCTCTTCCAACCTCTCTCCTTCTCCAACCTCTCTCCTCCTCCAACCTCTCTCCTCCTCCAACCTCTCTCCTCCTCCAACCTCTCTGTAGATCGGGGTGTCCCACCAGCTCTCCAGCGTGTCGTCCTATGTGGTGGACCTGAAGAGGGTGAAGAAGAGCGGCGGCTCGGTGATCCAGGGAATCATCCAGGACAACCAGCCGCTCACAGAGCCGAAGGAACCTAAAGGAGCCGCACTGCGCAGGAACTACGAGAGACCCACAACCACCTGCAGATCCCAGAGGTACCGCAGGCGTCTCACTGCACAGCAACACCACAGAATGTCCCTTTATAACGGCAGGAGGCCCTTTCATCAAACATCCAACATATGTGTGTGTGTCAGAGACACTACGGGGGCTGCTGGAAGGTCCCCCTCTGCCCAGGCACACAGCCAATCACAGGCAGGATAATGGGGCAGTCACCCCCTGATACGGCCCTGTGGACACTAAAACTTAGATATCATATTAAAGATAACTTATTATAATTTATTAGGCTGTTATTAATCTATTAGTTTCCACAGAGTCCACACAGCACATTGAACTAAACACCAACTTCCAGTCGAGACCAACAGCTGCCACCACCCTACTGCTGAAGACTGGGGGAGACAGGGAGGGGGAGGGAGACAGGGGGAGACAGACAGGAGAGAGAGAGAGGAGACAGGGGAACAGAGAGGAGAGGAGAGGGAGAGAGACAGACAGAAGAGAGAGAGAGAGGAGACAGGGGGGACAGGGAGGAGGGAGACAGGGGAGACAGACAGGAGAGAGAGAGAGGGAGACAGGGGAGACAGACAGGAGACAGAGAGAGAGAGGGAGACAGACAGACAGAGAGAGAGAGGGAGACAGGGGAGACAGACAGGAGAGAGAGAGAGAGAGAGAGAGGAGACAGGGAGGGGAGGGAGACAGGGGGAGACAGACAGGAGAGAGAGAGAGAGAGGGAGACAGGGGGAGACAGACAGGAGAGAGAGAGAGACGGGGAGACAGACAGAGAGAGAGAGGGAGACAGGGGAGACAGACAGAGAGAGAGAGGGAGAAAGGGGAGACAGACAGGAGAGAGAAGAGAGAGAGAGAAACAGAGAGAGAGAGAGGGAGACAGGGGGAGACAGACAGAGAGAGAGGAGACAGGGGAGACAGACAGAGAGAGAGGGAGACAGAGAGAGAGAGGGAGGGAGACAGACAGAGAGAAGAGAGAGAAGAGAGGACAGAGAGAGAGAGAGAGGGAGACAGGGGGAGACAGACAGAGAGAGAGAGAGAGAAGGGAGAAAGAGAGGAGACAGACAGAAGAGGGAGGAGGGAGAGGGAGAGACAGACGGAGAGAGGGGAGAGAAGAGAGAGGGAGAGACAGAGGGAGAGAGAGAGAGACAGAGGGAGAGAGAGAGGGGGGAGAGAAGAGGAGACGGGAGAGGGAGGGAGAGAGAGCAGAGGGAGAGAGAGAGGGGGGAGAGGGCAGAGGGAGAGGAGAGGAGAGAGAGAGAGAGACAGAGGGAGAGAGAGAGAGACAGGTAGAGACAGACGGAGAGAGAGAGAGAGACAGGGAGAGAGAGAGAGAGAGAGAGAGAGAGTACAAGAATAAATAAAGTGCTGCTGTCTCCGTCACATGTCATGATGTCATCAGGGTGAGGCAGAGGTCAGACGCTGACAGGCGGAGCCCCGAAGGCGAGAGGCGGAGCCCCAGCGAGGACGAGGGGGACGAGAAAGTGTCGTCAGCTGAAATCCACAACGCAGAAGATTACAAGGAGATCTTCCAGCCCAAGAACGCCATCTGTAGGTCGACTCTGTCATTACACTTTCTGACTCTTTATATCTTCATTGGTTCATTGTCAGTCTGTTCTCTCTGTCAGCTCGCACTCCTCCCAAGATATCAGAGCCGTTCCCTGCTCCTCCAGAGGACGGTGAGTCCACCACACATTCACTCACACCACAAACCAGATCCCTGACTCCATATATCATATGAGCAGGCTCCAGAGACAAAACCACCTTAATCATTTATAACACAAGTAACACTTCAAAGTGGACAGAACCAGAATAAGACTCATTAAAACCGTCTCTGTTAGTGTTTCCAACAATCACCAACTCTGGTTTGGTGGAAATAAATCCTTAATTCACCGACGTAGATGATAAAAACAGCAGTTTCAGTCGGAGCAGACCGGCTATGGAAACAAACCACAGAGAGGCTGCGATACAACACAGGAGGGACAGGCAGAGGGGAGAGAAGAGACAGGCAGAGGGAGAGAGACAGACAGAGGGAGAGGAAGACAGAGGGAGAGACAGGCAGAGGGAGAGAGACAGACAGAGGGGGAGAGACAGGCAGAGGGAGAGAGACAGGCAGAGGGAGAGAGACAGACAGAGGGAGAGAGACAGACAGAGGGAGAGAGACAGGCAGAGGGAGAGAGACACCATGTGACTCTGTGTATAGAGAATATAATGTTAGCTGATATATTAATGTTATAAATCTGATATATAACCTTTAACATTAAACACCAGGACTTTGCTGTGTCTTTAGAGATATTAGAGATATTAGAGATATTAGCTGTTGGCTGATATTAGAGATATTAGAGATATTAGCTGTTGGTTGATATTAGAGATATTAGAGATATTAGCTGTTGGTTGATATTAGAGATATTAGAGATATTAGAGATATTAGCTGTTGGCTGATATTAGAGATATTAGAGATTTAGTGATTAGATATTAGGATATTAGAGATATTAGCTGTTGGGATATTAGAGATATTAGAGATATTAGCTGTTGGCATATTAGAGATATTAGAATATTAGAATATAGGATATAGCTTTGGCTGATATTAGAGATATTAGAGATATTAGCTGTTGGCTGATATTAGAGATATTAGAAAAGAAAAGAAAACTCTATATTAGAATATTAGAGATATTAGCTGTTGGCGATATTAGAGATATTAGAGATATTAGAGATATTAGCTGTTGGCTGATATTAGAGATATTAGAGATATTAGAGATATTAGCTGTTGGTTGATATTAGAGATATTAGAGATATTAGAGATATTAGCTGTTGGTTGATATTAGAGATATTAGAGATATTAGCTGTTGGCTGATATTAGAGATATTAGAGATATTAGCTGTTGGCTGATATTAGAGATATTAGAGATATTAGAGATATTAGCTGTTGGCTGATATTAAGAGCTCATATAAAACCTTTAAAGCTCTGCTGTGATGAAAGTCGATATCTTAAAAACGATCTCAGTGTTTTGTGTGATGGAGGACACAGTGAATTATTGTCCTGCTTCTTCTTCTCAGAGACGATATTAGCGATTGGCCGCCAGCTGAAGGACATGATATCCCCTTTTCCTGAGAAGCAGCAGGTCAGTGAACGCAGCAGCAGTGTGTGTCTGTTATTGTTATTATGTTAATAACATGAATCTGTGTTACAGTCTCCTCCGCTGGCCTCCTCCACACCCGTCCAGAGGGTGGAGCCTACAGTAGTGTCCTGTGTGAAGCGCCCCCCCGCCGGCCCGGCGTCCTCCGAGCCCCCCGCCCCCGCCCCGCCTCCTCCTCAGCCTCCCGTCACCACAGCGAAGTCTAAACCGCAACCGAAGATCATCCTGAGCACCAGGAACGAGCCCATCGGACTGAACGTGGCCGACTTCCTGCCTGTGAGTCTCACACACTTTATAGTAACATCAGGAACATCTGGAACCAATCCATCATTTATTTTACAAA